CCCGACGGCGGGCACACACCCCCAGGCACGCACAGCCCCCCACGGGCACGCGCACACCCCAGGCACACACAGCCCCCCACGGGCACGCACACACCCCCAGGCACACGTAGCCCCCCACGGGCGGGCGCACACAAGCCCAACGAGCACACACAGCCCCCCAACAGGCACCTCCCCCATGGGCACATGTGCACACACCTCCATGGGCACACACACTCATGGGCACACGCCTACACACACAGGCACTCCCCCAAGACCCCCACCACCATGGACATCTGCAGACATGGGTGCCCCCGGGCCGTACTCACGTGGGTGATGGTGGCGCTGAAGCCCACCTCACAGTACCGCTTGTCGTTGACTGTGGAGAGAGGCACAAGGCAGCGTTAGCGCCATGCTCCTGGGGCAGGGGGGCTGAGGGATGTTGGGGGGTCGCCCCTGCGGAGTTTGGCTGTGATCTTCGCCGGGCAGAGCCAGGCTTCCAGGCCGGACCAGCACCCACTCATCTGCCCCCGGGCAGCGGGATGCCAGACAGCGCAGGGCTCTGCCTCTCTGAGGGGCTGCTCGGAGCTGGCAGCTCCGGTGTCCATCCGTGGGTCAGTGCCCCGCAGCCAGCCTGCTCAGCAGGGAGTGAGCTGCTGGGCCCACGGGGCAGCCGGACGCCTGGGTTTGGCCTTCCTGGGGTGAATCTAGGGCCCAAAGGCCTGGGCAGAGATCTCCCTGCGTGGGGCCCCAAGGGGCACACGGGCTGAGTGTGCTGCAGCCATGGAGGGACTGGGAGTGAGGCCTGAAACAGACAACAATGAACACGGGAGAGGGGCCCCCCGGATGCCCCCAGTGCCCCTCTGCCCCAGGATCCAGCCACTGCGCCTCACGGGGTCTCCAGTGAGCTCCCTGGCCTCGGCACCACAAGGGGAGTTGTGCCCAGTGGGCGCTGAGAGTGATAGGCTGGCCCTGGGCACTCTGGGCCTCAGTTTTCCAATCTGTATAAGAGAGTGGGGCTACTTCACTCCGAAGCGGTGAGGGCTCGGCCGGGAAGGTTGGTGCTGACCCAAGCCACGTGGGAGGGATGTGGGCACCTCCGCATGGGGGCGAGGGATGGTGGGGCTCCTCCCAGCGGGGAGCTCTGAGTGTCCGCACGAGAGGAGCAGCAGCATCGGCCTTGGGCCTGGCCCCCCCGGGGATGAGCAGCAGGTGGGGGGGGACCGGCACCGTGGGGGGGAGTCGGGGTGGGGAGCTGGCGTGGCTGTAGGGGGATGGGGGGGGAAGCGTCCAAGCCAGATGGCGCCCCCCCCCCGCCCGC